ATAAGATTGTTAGAAACATGTCAAAGAGACTTTGTGAAGTAGTATAAAGGCCAGGTGGCCCAACTATTCTTTTCCTTGGAAAAAGAACCTTGTTCACAGGGTGTCGTATAGTTATGAAACAGTGGAAGAGTAGACATGTCTCTACATGTAAAGTAGCAAGTGACTAGAAATATTGATTGAGATGTCATTCTATTCAATATGTCAAGTAGATCACAAAGACACTGACTGGAGTACTCGATCTTTCCTGAACCGGAAATCCCCATCTTCGAGGGGTGTCGTATAATTATAAAACGCACTGCATAACGTGACTATTATTCTTGAAGTTACAGTTTGCTTTCTGCACTATTGATATCCCTATGTATGCAGAAGGTTGAATAAAATGAGACTTTCTTCTCTGCTTGAAGAAACTCAAATCTTTTCCATGAATTCGAAACTATTTTCTAAAACATGTAGAGAAGTGGAATTTTTTTATTTCTTATGGTCCCTAAACCACTAGAGCAGATCTTTATTCAATACAATGTAATACGCCCACATTCAGACATTCGTGATGCTCTCGTGAGCCTCTGGGAGCGTACTGGACCGCAAAAGTTCACAGTGAGTCCTTATCACCAACTTATAAGCAACGCTCCATCAACGTCTCTATTCAGAAATCCAATGAAAAATACGAAGGAGGTGATGATTACCTGATCCTCACTTGCGACAACACCATGGAGTCTGCGAAAAGAGGCAAGGAGACAGCGAAAATGGTGCAAATCTGGAAGAAAGATCATAACAAATGGGTCATCTATCATGAAGAGTGCGATGTGAAGAAGTAGATGTCATGAAGTGCTTAGAGGTGCTCTCTATGTTGCGATGTTCATCATCAGTAATGAAAGTGATTCTGTTTTTGCTTTTTGGGAGGGAGGGGGGGAGGGGAACAGGAACATTTTAGCGTTTGACTGAGAAAGGAAAGAAATCACAAGGAATAATCAACGGGGTCATTTGTAACTCAATATGTGAGCCCGCACACTATGCTCGCACTTTTCAATAACGCTTCAGCAAAAATGTTCTAGCTAACAAACTGTAAAAATGTGTACTACTAACTAATACGTATCCCCAAGATCAAAAGAGACAAAAAATAAAGGAAATTTACTAGAAAGAAGCAGGTTTTAATCTTACAAGTCGTCAAATAGCGAGCATGGTATGCAAT